CGCAGCGTCGCTCGAGTCGATTGCTCGATACATTCTGTCTGCCGATGTAAAGAGGAACAAGAAGAATCAACAAACTACGGTCCTCTGCGTGTTAGGAATTCGGGCAATAGTTTTTCCTTTCGCTTTGCATAACGGAAGAGATGCAGTTTCGTTGTTTAGGAACGCTTCGCCATAAACTTGCCCGGCCATCCACGATGCCGTGGGCGCTTCTTCTGGATTCTCTCCCGCTTGTTTCCCCCCTCCCGCGCTCTTCTCATTCACCCCCTCCCTCCCCGCCGTCGCATCGGGGCGTCATGACCCAGGCGGGAGCTGTCGGTTTCGCTACCAACCCATCTCTCCGACTATGGGGCGACTCTCACTCTTCCTCGCCACCCCTTTTACCGTCTCGATGACCCACTTTGCTACCCGTCCTCAAAACTCTGCGCTGTAGCGTTAATGCCTTCGGCCGCTTGATCTTGAGAGAAACTCAAGAGGAGTCACAACACGAAGAATCTCTCCGAAACAGTAGCAACATCCTTCCGGACCGGAGAGCATATAATCGACTCTATCGCCGTGCTGATAACGCTCTGCCGTCCTGTTTCGACATCGACCGGGTCCAACGAATCGATCAGAAGTTCTGGCTCGATTCGGAATAGCGCAATTCCCCGAATTCTGATGCTCTGTGGAAGTCAATCGACAGCTCTTTCTCGGCCTCCACTCTGATTGTCCTAATGTGAGAGAGAACAAGTCACATATTGAGAGTCTAGGAAGAACTTATCCGGAAAGAGGGAGGCGAGGACCGGAGATCCGGTTCTTGTTTCACCCGCCATTAACTCCTTTGAGCCTTCTCGCATCGAGTCGAGAGCGATTCCGAATCACAGCCGACGGCTCGCCAACAACCGATCCTTTTGCGGCTCCCTCTCGTCTTAGGGGATCTTCGAGTTAGAAAACGGGATGAAGAGAGAATTTCAGCTCGGTTTCATCCTGTCAACGTTTTTCTCCTGTTCCTCAAGGGTGAGAAACTCTGAAAAGTTGACTGACGAGCTTTCTCATTGCTATTGACATTTATCCCGCCAAGACGACGTCCATCCGAGAGATCTTAGACTGTCTTGTTGCCTTCGGGGATCAGCAGGCGTCCGCGCTCCAGCAAGATCTATTTTCTTAAACTCTCAATGATCATCATGAAGAATGTGCGCCCAACCCGCATGACGACGGGCCATCGAAATCGACTAAGGGAGGTAGGCATGTTGATACTCAGTCAGATAATTGATTAGGGAAGAGATTGGCAGAAATGCTGATATGGTGATTTGTCCGATTACTGGATTCGATTCTCCCTGTCCCTGAAATTCGGGACGCTTCTTTCAAAGCTCACCATTATTTGCTCCCGCGAGAACCTAATGATAAGTTGTCCCCGCCCTGACAGTCGTGACATTGTGTTGCTGGCTTCGACTCGGGTTCGAAATAAAGGACGCTTTGAAGAGAGAACGCTCACAGCGTCTTCATGCCCCTGGAGCGAGGATCTCTGAGAACAAGGGGAACGAATGAAAAAATCAAGATGGACACCGTAATTAATAAAAGCAGATGACGATGACGGAGCTCCATTCATACTTCTGTCGAACAGTTCGCACAGTGGACGGTCTGTCTCTTTGTTCCCGCATGCCGACTCGGGGGCCAGTGTTCAGCGTTCATATAGCGCAGTTTGCTTTGGTGCACCGCTCGAGAGTTCTGCCACAGTCTCGTTCGATAAGGAACAGGCTGGCTCGATGCGCTGAATTAGTTCGAAAATCAACCGTGGCGAATCGGGGTACATTCGAATAATTGATTTCAAGTGATCCGAACACACATGACATGAACCGTGAATCGCGAATACCGCTCCATAGAATTCGAACTCCAAAAGAGAGACATAGCCCGCGGCGAGAGAGCTTGAGACAAGAGAGAGCGTCGCTGACGGAAAAATCCCAAACTGGGACTCGAGCATTTCGTCGGTGAAGTTGTGAAGGAGATCCCAGTGACGTGACTTTTCCTCGAAGAGCGGCTTAACCCCTAGTCGTCTGAGGACCTGATCCTGATATACTATACTTGCGGCCGGCCTCAGCTGCTACAATGAAGAAAGTAGATAATGCAACCTTATGGGGTTTGGAATCCTTTTCACTCGGACACTCAACTAAAGCACAAGAGAGGAAACTCCCTCCGCGGCTGCACTCGATCTTCGCGCTTGCTAAGAACCTCACGATTTCCCCGCGGACATCGGTGTTCTTCCTCCGATACTCTCTCTGTAGGAATGGAAAAATCACGAGACCGAGAGTCCGAAACCCGCTACGATCCGAATGGAGGGAATTCGAGACATTCACTCCAAAATCGGCTCGAAACTCCGCGTTCTGGCGAAAATGGCAGCTCCGATTTCTTTCACGAGTCGATATGCTAGATCCTTCCATCCCATTTAACCCTCCAATGTTTTGTGCCGACGCGATCGTTGATATTTCGGTCGGACTCTCACGGAACCAACGTCTCCCGATGTCACGTATCTGCGCGCTACGTTCGACGGGAGTAGGACAACAGATTTTCTCTGCATGGTCAATTTATACGACAGCACGGCGACAGCTTGCCCGGCGCTCTTGACATTCAGCCTTTCGAGCGCACGGACCGTGCGGGCAACATATGTTTAATTTCAGCCTGTTCTCGACGAACCCGCTCGAGAATATCGAATGGCTGTACAGAGCGTTATTCATCGCTGAATATTTTCGGAGAAGATACCGATTCCGCAGAGAGGAGTCGGTAGCCATAGGCTGCCCACTTGTTGAGAGAGCGCCTGCCCGGACGACTCGCTGAAGAACAAGAGTCGACACATCGTAAAGGCTTTTGCTTTCAGGTCGATACATCCAATCAATCGCTATTTATCTTTGCTTGCGAGAACACGGACCCAACGACTCGCCCCAACCGAATCGAGCTACTTCCTCGTACTGCGCTTGCACTCCTGTTAATTCAGTTACGGCAAGGTCTTTAGGTGGCGACGGCACTCCGACCGGCGATAACATTCAATGCTTGCTTTGTTGTTGTTGTCGTTGCTACTACGTGCCGCATTTAGAGACAGCAGGAGTGAGCGAGTTCGTTTCCTATAGTCAGTCGGTAAACGTCCCTTACATACGGAAGCTTGCACGCTGACTCGAGAGCAATCAGCGCACTCCAGCACGTAGCCGACTCTGCTCGCTTGCTCGTTCTTAGGAGATGCGGAGGGCTATTTCTACCCCCGTCTTATCTTTTAATACGCTTCGTAGGCCAACACTCTCAGCGGAAGCGCTAGCCTAAACGCTAGCCTCCATTTCAACCCTAAGTGATTGCATGTCTGATCAAGACCGACTATCGCGCCGGTTCCGGAATACCGCTTTGATTGAGGATCTCCCTTTAGCGTCATGACTAATCCCCGGAGCGCAATGACTTTCGATTCCGAATTGATTCACAGGAGTCTTATGTTTCCACTCATCTCGGCGGTAGAATCATCGAACCTAGGGAACATTCCCACTGGGCGACCAAGGGCTGATGAAGCTAATCAGGGAATCAAACAGTTCGTGGAGCGCTGACCGGGTAGTTCGACAAACGTTGCGAGGCGTCCCTAGATGAGCAATGTTTTCGAGTCGAGCGTCTGAATAGGGTTCACAGTTGAGCGAGTTCAGGGGACTTTGTCGCGACGATTCGAATCTACCCAATTAACTCAGAGCCGACAAATCGTTGGTGTGGAGATAATTGCCCCGGAGACATTCGGGCTCAAGAAGTCGCCTCTCTGGTCCGCGGGAGCCACGGCCCGTCTCCGGAGAATCGACTCAGATGTGTGTGCGCGGTGGAAGGAGCAACAAAAACTCCATCGGTTGCATCAAGTGCTTGATGATGTACATATATATTTGACGACTCGAAGCTTCAGGAGCAATTGAAGGTCGGTCTCGGGTCGAAGCTGGTCAGCTGCTGCGTCGGACTGCACTCCTCTCAGGGGGAGACTGTTTTGCAACCTCGTAGAGTTTTGAACGTCTTGTCTTTCGAACACATGCGAGATAATTGTTGAAGTTTGATTGATGGTAGACGACACGAGCACCGCCGGATCGTCGATGGATCATTGGAGCTGCGCTCGGTTGGGGAAACACGGCAAGACTCAATGGATGAAAGTGCTAGGCCCAGGGGAAAGAGGTGGGAGTGGACCGCCCGTCGATCCAGTAATAACGGTACTTATCCAAGAAACTGAACAAGAAAACCGAACGCTCTTAATTAGGGGCTTGCTTTCCTCACGAACACATCATTACCGTCATTGGCCACCAAAACCAAGTTTCCAGGTAATGATGGAAGAACGTGGGAGAGGGAGGAGCGGGGGCCGGGCAGGGGGGTTCAGGCTCGACACGAATCATCGAATGTCGTCCGCTTGGGGCCGTCAAATTCCGCGGTCACTCTGCGTTCGATCGGATGCTCGTGCCCGGTCGTATGGGGAACACATAAAGGAAGAAAATCAAAGCGTACTCTCATTGCGGAGAAGTGTGCCGTCCGTGTGTGACTGTCTGAAAGAGAAAAGGATCCAGAGAACGTAAACAGTGAAGGATTAATTCAATAATTCGGTGGAAGCCGACGCAGAGGCGTCGAGCTTCTCGCCCTCTCCCATTCTTCCAAGCTCCATATTTCGATGCAGCCGGGAACACCATATGTCCGATTGGAGACAATGGAACGAGGGAATTGATCGTGTCAAAGACAATTTCATCGTCTGGAATCTTGCGGGAACACGCTCAACGGACAGCCACGTGCTCCTCTCGGCTGTTTGATTCGGGATCCCACGTGAAGACGTCGGACCTCATGGAAAGTCGAGCACCGATGGCTCCGCCTTCACAAGTGAGGAAGGGCCCCGCTTGAGGCGGGAACACAAAACCAATGCTTCTCTCGGATCACAGCGACAAACGTCTCCCTTGAGGAAGTCCATGACTGACAGACTCGGGGACCGACTGACAGACTGACATATCCCTTGACTGACACGCGCTCTGAGTAGTTGTGTATTGTTTGTGTTTTTACACAGGTCCCCCAAGAGGATTATGCTCACATGACACCGATGTCTAAGCGCCTCGGAACTCGCGCGTCATAAGGGTCGATAAGTGTTCCCACGGATTACAGTTCTCCTCTACGTGAGTTCTTCGATTTCCCTGGCGCCGGGTGACACCCGAAATGTGGACTCAAGTTTTTCTCCTCGCTCTGGGACTGGAAGGTGGGTATCCGAGCCTGTATGTTGAGCCTCTCCACTTTTATGACTCATGCGTGAGCTCGATTTATGCGTGACTCCCATGAGAACGGTATCGATGGCTTGTCTGATCGACGGGGAATCGATCGTGACGGTTGCTATCCAGGCTCGATTTTAAGGCTTGAGAAGGATCGTTTCCGGGAATAGGCGTCCGGTAGTCGTGAGATATAATCAGTAACTGAGATCGCCCCTGAGCGAATTTCCTTGGACCCACTCATGTTCTAATGAGCACCGATCATCGCTGGATAGCTCGGCGAGCCCTCTGATCGCTGAGACTCACCATAGCCGATTGTTTCCGTCCGAAAACTCGTTGGAAGTACGTTCGCCGGAGCTCATCTCGGGAGGGGAAAATGACGTGAAATTCATCCACAACGCCGCAGAGGATCGTCTGGGTTCGTACTGTGACTCAGATAGACCCTTTTCCGAGTGAGGATGCCTCGAGTTCGATGTTTGGATCCTCATTCCGTCTCTGAAGGAGTATCTCCCTCCAAGCCGTCATTGAAGCCATCTCAGGAATTAAAATCAGAAACATGAGCCAAGAGCCACCGCATAATGTCCATCCAGAAGGGAGGCGGCTTGGGTCTCGCTGGCCTAGATCGCGTATTGGAGTTCCGCGGGGATGATGAGGGAGATTTTCCCTGCGAAGAAGACGGAAGCATGTCTCGAGGGGACCCTCGAGTGTCGACTAGAGCTCGAAAGTTCAGGCATTCTGCCATGAACGCCTATGGCCGCCTTTTTCGAAGCTATTCGATCGAAGATATATATTGAAGTTTTTCCGCGCTCGGAGTGCCTTTTTGAGCCACTGAGACACTGAATTCCGGGAATTCCGGGGAAAATCAGGGTCTACGAACGGATTCGTCGATGAATAGAATCGGCGAACCCATGCTCCAGGAACACATCTTGCTCCCGAAAGAATCCGATGGTCCGCCTAGACGTCGAATTCTCCTTTGATGATGTAAAATGCTACCTATCAGACCGGCCTACCCTATTTCTCCGTGGTGGCAGGACGTTTTGGCCGGTACATAAAAGTCGATCTTGTTCTGGTTTTGACAATGCCGAATAGATTTCATTGTTTTTCCGCCTGCCATTTTCGGCATTTCTTAGTGCCTGAACCTCCGAGGTCCAAGCGTCACTATACTATGTGTACGCGATGGCGAACGTAACGGAATGGAACTTTCGGCGTTCAGCGTCCCGATCTCTGCGAATTTCCGCTAGAGGCTGCGAATGATTCTGAAATGACTCTATGGCCCGGAATGTCGAGACGAATTCCCATGCCAAGCCACATAGACTCAGAGAATTCGGGGACAGCTTCTTCTGCATCGAAAAACCTTCGACTTCTAATCACGGAAGGCTATCAAGAAGGAGATATCGCAGACGAGTATAATAATTGTTTGCGTAAGAGAGGTTTGCCCTGCATTCCCAGAACTCAGGCTATCCGCGATGAGGACGAATTTGATCAAAATCTCGAGATTAATCGTGGATCGTGGACAGATTCGTTTTCTTTCCCCACTGAGCAGGGAGGTCTCAAGAGGTTGCGAATTTTCAGTGCAGCCGATTTCCATAGGGGCATAGAAAACGAGCAGTGCAGCCTGAGTCAGACCCATTCACGTCTCGACTCTATCGAGTGGCTTCTTAATCACAGAGGAAGTAGACGAATGAGAGGGATCTGTGAACTCTGGATGCGATTTTCCTCTCGTTCCACTGCGGGCTCCCCAACGATTCTCATTCCGATACCGCGATCCAGATGCGCGTGTAGCGACGAGACAAGTTGCGTTCGGAACGAGCTCGAGCGCTCATCGTAATCCTTGACACTGTAGAGCTCTCCGTGGAAAGCAGTAGAAGTCACGGCAAAATGTGGTGTCCATCGTCCCGTCCAAGCAGCTCCCGTCCGGAAATGCCGACGCAGCACACTTCCTTGGGAAGCGTGCGGAACCGAGGGGGTTGCGTGTGACCGACTCGCCGGTAGTTGTCACAATTGACGGGGTCTGTTGACCCGTTCGGATCACGTCTCCTTAACTAAGTTTCCCCCGACACACTTGTGCCATGACGGACATCCAAAACGTTCGCGGTCTCCAACGAAAGCGGAAACGAGTCGCTGCGAACGCATCGGTGACACGGTCTTCTCTTCCTTTGCAGCCTGTCTGGCGAATTGGAACGATTGGTGGACCTACGAAGGGATCTCAGGTTGGTATTTCGTCTTCGCATGGCGACATCGAGAGCGAAACACTTTCCGCCGCACGATCCACTCCGAGAAACTTCGCGGTCGGCAGAAGCAGATAAGCTAATAAGATGAGGAAGTAAGCAGACTCTTCCGTCGTAGGTCCTGATTTTTGGGGTCGTCTGAACCCAGGACTCTGGGGTCTGTGCAGCACTGGGAGGCGCCAGTCCCCGATAAACATCGAACCACAGAATCTTCTATTCGATCCACATCTCCAGGCCTTACAAGTCGGCAAGCATCGCGTCGGGGGTGTCCTCCATAACACCGGTCAGGGAGTCGTTTTCCGACTCAACATCGAGGAAGCGAACGATTTCAACGAGCAGCTTCTCACGCCAAGCAGTCTCAATAAACAGGAACGAGTGAACATCAGCGGGGGGCCACTCTCCTACTCGTACCGCGCCTACGAGGTCCAACTGCATTTCGGTCGGAACGACAGATCCGGCTCTGAGCATCTCCTTGCCGGATTCGCGTTCCCTGCGGAGGTTCGTTGGCACCACGAATCGGAATCCTCCGCTGCAGAATTTAAGAAAAAAACGATTCCATCGACTTTAGCCTGATCTTTTCTTCGCAGGTACAAATCTATGGATACAACAGCGAGCTTTACGCGAACGCATCCCAGGCACGCAGCCGTGCCCACGGGATCGCGGTGGTGTCTGCCTTCGTCAAAGTGACACCTCCGAAAAGTTCTGAGAGCGGTAGAAGCACTCGTGATAAAATGACAAAGCCAAACCTCGAGCTCAAAATGCTCACTGATCAACTCCAGCATATCATCTACAAGGGCGACAGCGTCACCTTGAAATCCCTGTCGATCCAGGAGCTGTTGCCCTCGACTTCGGCTCTAATGACCTACGAAGGCTCGCTAACTTCTCCCGGCTGCGAAGAAACCGCGACGTGGATCATTCTCAACAGACCGCTATACGTGTCTCCTCAACAGGTAATTGTGGCGAGAAGCTTCAGTGATCCCGCGGAGACTCTCGACGGAAAAATTATTCTCCCGATAATTCTGATTCTGCCGATGTGAGAAGTTCTCGCGCAGCGTCCATTCAGACTGCCGCGGCGGGATTGTCCCGCCGCCCAACTTCTACGGGTCGGAACATGCGTCTTCAATGGTCTAGGTATCGAAAAAGTCTCACGCTAAATTTTTCCTCAATCAAACTACAGCTGACGTCTATGCGAAAGCTGAAACAAGGAGAATCTATATCTCCGATGGCTCCCCTCGGTAATAACTTCAGACCCCCGCAACCCCTCCATCAGAGGGTTGTCCGCACGAATATCGATCTCTATCCCATCGACGGGCGACCCGAGACCGAAGACGACGCTGACGGTAGCACCGGCCAGCAGTGTCCCTCGATGCAGGCGAAGAAGTTCTACCAAGGTGAGTCGCAAGTCGAAAATCGCTTCGCCGACGCTATTTGGCAGTTGGCGAAAGCGTTCTAGGATGTTCCGGTAGCTCGATTCGAGAGGGATTCTGAAACGGAACCGAAATAGTTTAGTTTTATGCATTGAGCGCTCTCGACGGAGATTCTCGCTGGATATGTCCGCCGGGAATCCCAGCCCTCGATGTCTCCATCTCAATGAGCAACGGCTGCCAATTCGACGGAATTAGGTGTTTTCTGGGAATTGACTTTCGAATTCGAGCACGTGTTCTGAGTCCTAACGACCGATTGTAGGTAGTCCGCATGAGTCACATTCGAGCGGTCGCATCAGGCGAAAACCCTGAGGGAGGTAAATAGCATCAAAATGACCGGGGTCATGAAGGTATTGACGCTCAAACTGACTTGGTCTCATTGCCTCATTGCAGTGTCGCCAGAACATCTAGCCGTGAGTTCGAATTTCCTGAACAGCCGGTGAAGGTGGTGTGTGGATCCCTTAGAAGAATACCTGGAGGGAGTAAAAGTCACCATATCCGCGTTATTCGAGCATAAATGTTGATGCTCATCTGAAGAATCTGTGAACGAAACTAATGTTCTTCGGTGGAGTCAGGTCTCTCCGAAGTTAGCTCTAGAAGAGCAAAGTACGCGCTAGCAATCCAAGGATAGGGGGGGTTGACGTTCGTGATTTGTTCGGTATTATTAGATGTGACAAGTGAACATGACGGAACGATTCATCGAGAGAAGGCAATATCTAGAAGGAGTGGAATAAAGTTATATTTTTACCTAAAGAGTGTTCCTCTTTGCGGACAGTTCAGGAAATATCTGAATAGTCAATATTTGCAGAGCTAACAGTAAACTAACAGAACCTCCTTCTCGAGGATGCCTCGAAGGGTTCAGTATCGAGAGGACGCTCGACGAATTCAATGCGATATTCGTTTATTTAGTTGTACACAGACGGCTATCGGAGTGGATTGGCGTCATCGTCTCGGGAGCGATGTGTCCCTCGTCCACTTTCATCGTTCATTAACTTCTCATTAATCTCCCTCCCTCCGACCCTCGGTGCGAGGCTCCGGACGCACGAAGCGATCTGCTCGAGGATATCCAAAGCCTACCGCCGCAAAATCTCGGACAAAGACCCGCTTCGAGAAATTATTCGATGGCCCCGCAAATGATAGATCCAGATGTTTTTCAGGAGGGCTCCTTGCCATCACGGTAGCACCGCTTTTCCAGACTTTCGGGAAATTCATCCCTTGGCGGGAGATCTCCAGATACAATAATTTGGAGCTGCGAATCGCGTGGAGCAAGCCGGCGGGAATCAAGACACCTTAAGCTCCGGAGGGGTTGCTCGGGAACAGCCTGGGCCCAACTCCGTTCCGGAGAAATGGTTTCAGAGCAAAAAATATCCTGTTGGACATCACTGCAAAAACGAGTGGAATCAGGCGACCGTGAAAGAAGGTTCTCTACCCAGTCGACCAACTGGCTTCGTTGAGCCAGTGAGGTGGAGGAGGAGCTTTCCACAGACTGATAATTAGCACAGGTCTGCTGATTTTAAATCAAGCAAAAACTGTGGAGCTCCGGACTCTCTAATCAGATTTTCCTCACACCTTGTTTCCGGACAGAACCTCGGCTTAGTTTGTAACAATCATCCCATCCAACGCGTCCACTGGTTAGTTCCGAATATCCACAAACCTAGTTTTGCCTACAGAGTACAGAATTAGATTATTTTTTTTCAATCGAGATTCCCGCGATGAAGTAGATCGGAATACACACGAAGATTCAAGGAGAGCGGGAAGAGATTGCGGGTCGATTTGCATCCATCCCATGGTCGGTCAAGCCATCGACCCCAGGGCAATTAATGAGTCGGTATCTTTCTTCCTCAGCTGAGTCCTCTCGCCAGGCTCGGAAGCATGAACCCAATCTTGTTCGGGAAATCTCGGAATCGGCTTTCGCAGTCGAGGAGATGCGAAGCAAGGAGGGACTTCGGAATCGCGTTTTGAATTACGTTCGCCGTTCAGACGCTTGAGAGAAATAATTGTCCAAGACGGTTCTCGACAAGGGTCCTCACTACAAGGCGCTTGAAGCTGGAATCCTGAATAAAAGACAGTCTCTTTCAATTAGCTTGAAACATTGCGCTGCGTGGACGCCCGCATCTCAAGAAAACACTCGAGGGTCGGCGCCGTAAACCTTCCGATTCCTTGGCTCCACAAAAAGGATATGTATTCGATTCTATCGAATTTTCCGTTCGAAACAAGCCTTCATCCCTCACAAGATAAGGCCGTGCGGTCTCGCGCATTTCTATTCCGCTCGCGGACCCAGTCGGACAATTTTCTCCACCCGATAAAGACGTCCGAACGCGAGGTGTAATAAGCGGGGTCGGACCATTGGCATATCTGTTATTGATTTTTCGATATTTCACTATGAGATTCAAAGATGAAATATCTGTCTCGACGGAACCTATGTTCGGGTCAGAGCTGCGAGGTATGGATCCGTGGTCGTTTGTCGGATCTACACAGTGCAATCTACGGGAAGACTGGCAGGACCCGAAAGATTCATGAGCTCAATTACGGTATTGGGCGGGCAGACCGCGATGAACAGACACTTCTGAGGCTAAAACTTCAGGTACTCGAGTCGCGGAGAGTGCAGAACTCCTTTCGCGACGCATTTGTCCCTTCACCATGACCGTGACACTTATTTTATTGATTTATTATAGTATATATACCCGTATCAGATGGGCTGTACCCAATTTTCTGTCAATCGACGGAAGGAATTGACGGGCAGTCACCAGAATGGGCAATTTCAAATGAACGGGCAGGTTTTGGATAATAATCGAAAAATAGGTCGGTATGTCCTCGAATCAGGGTATTGACGTTATTTTCTTCCGCCGTCTCACCACTCTATCGATGAGCATTCGCGAACTGCCGCTGTAGCTATTCTCTCGCTTGAGTCTTCTCCCGATGTCTCGGCTGTGGGAGAAGTCGGCGACACTTTGTCTTATCACAGGCGACGAATGGGCAGATCTTCGAGTCTCTGGGCCGGAAATAAAGTTTTGCCTAAGATGGGTCTTCTTTTCATCGTTCATTAACTTCCCATTGATTCTTGTCTCATCGAAGAATGAACGGCTGCGCGGCGGGGCCGACACTTTCGAGTCCGGCTCAGTGGATCTTTCTTCGGAGTGCCGCGTTCGAGGAGCGAGAAGCGCGGGCTGGGGACACCCAATTATTCGGAACGATTTCGAATTCCTCTTCCCCTAATCAGACTACGGCATGGAGATCCGAGCGCGATCGGGACTATATCGTCCGAGAGTATTCGAGGAATCATCCAGCAGATCGAAGAGTAAGCATGGAGAATCATGATAGAAAACCATGATCGCCATCCGATAACTCGGGGCGCGGCTGCTCTGCAATTTCTATCTTCGGATCCGCGAAATTTTTGGACGAGATGAAAACATCCAATAAGAAGGCACATTGCACCGTCGAGCTCCTCGCTCAGAAACAGTTTGCTCATGGCAATCTGAACGACCGCACAATGTAACCTGTAGAGCGAGCACGGGTCTCCCCGGCCACGGTGGATTTGAAACCGAATCTTCGCTTGGGGCAGCATACGAAGATGGCTTTCGCTGTTTGGTTTGTTCCTCCCGGGAGAGGGGGAGAAGGCAAAACGAGGAAAAAAGGAAAATGTTGGGGCTGCGAGGGTGTGTCTTGTATCTGACGTTGCCTGGTGGTCCCCCTCCGTGTTCTCTGTATCTCTCTGTGAGCTGTGCGGTGTTGGCTTCTTCTGCCGCTGACAACACGACTCTACTGATTATCAGGACGACAGCGCGACGTCTGTGCGAACGGCCGAATGAACGAGAGATGGGCAGACGAGCCAACGATCTGACCGAGGGGCGAACGAGAAGAGAGACAACAGGCCACAGAGGGCAACTCGCAGTTGATTGACAGCTGGACTAACTTAACTGCAGCTAAATTGAATCAACTCTAAACTCTCAACTCGCGAAGACTCCTGTGTTTACTCGACACTTTCCCGCGTTGTTTGACTTGGCAACTCGAGAGCAGCAATCGGTAACTTTGTCACTTCCATTGCGAAGTGAAACAAAAGATTTGTTCGATTCGTACCTGCCTCTAGCGACCGATGGACCCCGATGTCAGCTACCGCTTGAGCGGAGAAGGTAAGGCTGGTAAGGACCTAGATCTCCCGATGGTTCTTGGATTTTCCGACGTTTTCCTTCGATACCTCGGACGGAAGACGTGCCGTGAACGCAAACGTACCCGGAGGTGGCACGCGAGCTGCGGGATCAGAAGTTGGCGCGTCTCGCACTCGTGCGGAAGGCGTGAACGACGCAAACAAAGAGGTCATTAAAAGCTGCTCCGAAAGCGTTTTACTGCAGAGGATTCGCTAACTTGTTCTTTGCCTCGACGACACTTTGATGGCCGTCGGGTGAATGACAGCTCTCAGGAACCGAGGGACACCTTGTGGTCCGCTCGCGGTGGAATTCAGGAAGATGTCCCGCTTCTTCTACCATTCTGTCAGGAATCGCTCTCCTCCCTCAGGACAATCGAGACTTGTTCCCGCCGGTTTGTGTCGAACGATTTCTCGTCGCATAGGGCACTTATTCCCGATTCGGACGTTTCCGTGGTATCGGGACAGCGTCGTCCGATCAACGAGCTCCGGTGACTAGCACTAACATCAGACCACTCACGACGAAGGAGACGGGATGGATGCACGAATAATTATTATTAGAAAATACGTTCGGCTTAGTTTTTGGGCCGAGGAAGAGCTGAAAGACGGAGGAACGACAGATATCCTTCCAGCTCAGTGGGCACAAATCTAATCATGCGGACGTCGTTCTGTAGCGACGCAATATCACCGGCTGCCGGCTGCATGCAAGAATGTGCATGCTCCCCCAAGAAGAATGCAATCTTGTGAGGCCTGCAAGATGGACTGCGCGGTCGCCAAAGCAACAAAGGTCATCCAACAAACTGGAGCCTCTCGCACGGACAGACAGCCGGACGGAGCGTGGTTCTCGGTTTGTTTGTGGATTCCGTGCGGAAAGCTGAACTTGAGCACGAGTGGGTGTCCCTCGCGATTACTTCAGGGGGTGGATAATTGCGCAGATTGTGGGTTTTCTCACCGGTACGAAGGGATGGAATCTCCGCCGCCGTTTTTGAGGGAAACTGTTTGGAATCAAGAAATTCTAGGGAACGGCTCGCATCTCCGTCTCGAAGATTTTCGCCTCGGAATTCGAGCGTCTGATATTCGGAATTGATTCGTGCCACTGACTCGGTGCACCGTCGCAAGGCTGGATGTCAACTGCAGATGACGTTTATGCAAATCGTTCACAAAGAAATCAGACAATTTCGCCAGCCATCCAGAAGACGCGACCAGCCAACTGAACAAGCTGCACAATCAATTTGCTTCTGAGGCGCCGCCGTCGCTCGACGACTCAAATCAAATACATAATAATCGAAGAATTTCCTTTCCGAAACGGGCCGTCGAGGCGCCGGCCCTTCGGTACCTTAAGATGGAACGATCTGTGCATGAAAATCGAAATTTTCCGGTGGGAATACGGAGACCTCGTTGTCATGGACTTCGCTAATATCGTCTCAGCTATCGACCACAAGAGAATGAGAACCAGAACGCTCAAAAACGCAAAAGGTAATCAGTGCGTGCAATATCGCAACGAATGCGAATGCGGCCGGTCGTCAGCTGCTTCTTTTGCCCTGTATCAGGATAATGTACTCGGACAGCCCGGAACCACTTCCTCG